TTCCAAAATGATTGAGCGTAGGATAGTTGATCGCAAAAGTACCTGGTAGGAGTTGGACAGCGTATGTAATCGTTATTTTCAGTGCTATTTTCGTTTTTCTTGTCCTTTTGTTCTGTTTTTCTTGTCCTTATGTAATACCCCATTTAACTTGCAGTATGCAAAGCGTAGAAACAAGTTCTGAGGTGACCTTCGATATGCAAATGAGTCACTCACTCACTTTGGTTTAGACATCGTGATGTTAGTCGTCGCGAACTTGAAAGAAAAAAATATTTTTAAACGAAGATCATCGCATTACAATGCAAACATTTATTGAGCGACTGTGAGGCGAAACATGACATAGGAGTGGAAAGTAGTAGAGTAGCTCTTCAAATTTTGCACAGGGCTTCAAACATATATTTTAAAAAGTCAAAATATATTTTGCATTGAATTTTCCACTCTGTTGGATGAAAAAACTGCATGTTACCTTTGCCCTTGATTTTTGTTTTTTTCAACTACGGTCTGAAATCCACGGCAGTCTGATAACTGCAAGTTGCAACACAGCACAACTTCCGTGGTTCGCTTATGGTGGTTAACACTGTGACCCTTGACCTAACATTTAGAAGCAGTTATTTCATTGTCTAGGATTGCTCCATTTTCCATTCCAAGATAATACTCAACGCAACCTCCTAAACATTGAAAAAATTGTTAAAAACATTAAAGAGAACTAGCCAATGTAATCATTCATGGACACAATATCATGGAAAATGTTAGGTCAAGGGTCACAGTGTTAACCACCATAAGCGAACCACGGAAGTTGTGCTGTGTTGCAACTTGCAGTTATCAGACTGCCGTGGATTTCAGACCGTAGTTGAAAAAAACAAAAATCAAGGGCAAAGGTAACATGCAGTTTTTTCATCCAACAGAGTGGAAAATTCAATGCAAAATATATTTTGACTTTTTAAAATATATGTTTGAAGCCCTGTGCAAAATTTGAAGAGCTACTCTACTACTTTCCACTCCTATGTCATGTTTCGCCTCACAGTCGCTCAATAAATGTTTGCATTGTAATGCGATGATCTTCGTTTAAAAATATTTTTTTCTTTCAAGTTCGCGACGACTAACATCACGATGTCTAAACCAAAGTGAGTGAGTGACTCATTTGCATATCGAAGGTCACCTCAGAACTTGTTTCTACGCTTTGCATACTGCAAGTTAAATGTGGTATTACATAAGGACAAGAAAAACAGAACAAAAGGACAAGAAAAACGAAAATAGCACTGAAAATAACGATTACATACGCTGTCCAACTCCTACCAGGTACTTTTGCGATCAACTATCCTACGCTCAATCATTTTGGAAATGAAATAAAAGGAAAGCTGGCGAATGGTGCTGATATATATCTCATGAGGTAAAGATAACTTTGACAAGGATTTTGGAGTAATCGTCAATTAATAGGAAGGATTTTTATTCATTTTGCAAAGTAGTAATGTTAGGAAAAGGACCATTTTGGGGAATCGCCCATTTCACACTTCAATAACGATGTCTTTCTTTTCGGGTCACAAAGATTATAACCTTTAAACATTGCATTATGGTATATTCCCAAAGATCTTGGTCACCTCCTGTTTCACTATTCATATAATAAAATTAATTTTGCAAAGTGGTAATCTTAAAATAAGATCTATTTTGCAAATTTACTATTAAATTTTTCACTCAGAGGCAGCTGTATGTTGCCATTCTTGTGTCCAACTGAATAGCTTTTCGGTAGGTTTTAAACTAACATACTAAGATTTTGGCCTCCTCTTATTTCTAAAACCATATAAAAATACATCTTGCTAAAATACATCTATGGCTGTCCTCAGAATTATTTTCATCCCATTACTTCCAAATCAGACACCACACAGATATAGTCCTATTACATATACTAATAAAAATATTGCCACTCTGTTGTCACCCTCTCATTAAATTCACTCTTCTCTCTTTCTCTCCCTCTCTCTCTCCCCCCTCTCTCTCCCCCTTCTCTCTATCAAATCATTTTCATTGGTTCTTCTACAAGAATTGATTTTTAAATAGATTTTGACAAGTACTACATTTGTTTCTATAAAGATTGACAAGTATCCTGAAAATCATCTGTAAATTAACAATCCTTTCCAAAAAGTAACCAAGAAAGCTAACACAAGAGGTGTTTGCAGTTAACAATAAAATCAATAAGTGTGACTCTCGTACAATTAATAACTAAATTCTCCAAACAATTTGTTCATTTGTGAAATGTTGAGCAAAGATTTGAGATCTTCTTGAAGGCCTCTGGCACATTTTTTCCCAATAGGGACCTTCCGGCTGTTGAATAATTAACATACGTATATGAATTCTTACCTCTTTCCTTGGTTCTCGCCGCTACAGGAGAAACAGTTCAAAATAGTGGCTAGTTAAACATTGATTAGATTATTAATAAGAGCATAATAAAATAACCTAATAATAACTCATTCCCACACCTAGTGTTTTCTTCCCTCTTCATAATTAATGAGCAGTTTCATTAATCTCCAGAACTCAGGGCTATAATTGGCTTAAGACTCACTGCAAAAGCCATTTAAAACTAACAACTCTTTCTTTGTGCATGCTAATTATGTTTGAATTGTTTCTGTCACTTCCATAACATTTGGCACAATCTAGAAGGTCAAGTTGTGATTATATCAGGAGATAATTTGTTCCATGTAGTCACTGAGAATAGGATACCATAGATGACACTTAAGGTGATACTGGATCAACACCAGTAAGATATCTACACCTGTGAGTTGTTGATTCCCAAATTTTCTTTGGTCCGACTTAAAAACTTTGCTGAACAAGTTAACTTTAGCAATGGATCAGTAAGCATCATAGAGAATGCAATGTACAAAGTGTACACTTAAAGCAAATTGACCTACTCAGTAGCTCTCCTATAANCCTAGGGCGCATGGTTAAAGCAAGAAAGCAATGGCTGCCTTCCCAGACAATTCCTTCCTTGATGTATGCGAAAGAAATTCGATGGTCTACGAACTTTACGAGATCAATTTACGAGCGATCCTTTACGATCCTTTACGAAAGAGTGAACCTTCTAACGAAGAATATCAAGCGAAACCTGCTATATCAAACAAGCTATCTCTTATTATGTTTACATGTAAACACAATCGTGTATTTAGACTTGATCCAGAACCCAGTAGAATACAAGAAGCTGCTCTGAAACGTCTTAGAAGAAAGGGCAGAAAACTGAAGGACTTTGTTTATGAGCGTATTCGTCCAAGCATACCAAGTTCCTCGTGGTTACGTCGTTATGTGAAGGTTAGAAGAGTTACTGAGAGTGTTTGTAAGCTTAATACGAAGAGGGCAAGATTAAATAAAAATTACACAACATGAGAAGAAGTGTTTGTCGAATTGTTCTGTGCGGGTATTTCAAGAGATAAGCTCTTTGATTTACAATAACAAACAAGGAATCAATTCTGCTAATGATTTCGTCTCAATAATCAATATTGGAAATCAGTAAGTTTGTCTCAGTTAACCAGACAATCATTTTTAATGCAGACAGAATTACCCACACTTTTAAATGTGTTCGAGACTGACTATGAACTTCAATACAGTGAAAATTACACTGGCACTATTAATCAAGAAGCTACAATAGAAGGATATCAGTACTGTAACTCCTTAGATAGAGCCTTTCAATCACTTATATCCGAAAATTTCAACAATTTTGTCTTGACAATAGGTTGTACTGCAGTAGCTATCTATTGTAAAGGCAATGTTGGCTTGAAAATATTCAATTCTCATGCAAGGGATATTTATGGTAGACACCATTCTCAAGGTACATGTGTGCTGCTTCAAGTACTATCACTAAATAGCTTAGTACATTATTTTAAGAGTATACATAACAATGATATATTTGAGTTCAAAGAGTTTAAAATTGACAAAGTTCAAAATAGTGCCCATTTTCAGAGTCATGCCTGTGAAACCAGAAAGTTGAATGTGAATTGTGCTGTGGCTGTCTATCCACTCTGCTACTCTGTAGTAAAATCATGTAGTTATTGGAATTCAAACACCTTATCTAATGTTATTCAGTATGGCAAAAGATTACAAAAATTCATCTTTGAACAAGTATTCACTGTCAGATGATTTGCCAAAAACAGTTACTGATGTTTGTGGAACTGACGTAAGTTTAGATCTTAAAAGTGATTACAGTGAAGGAACATTGTCTGATTCAGTTGACACCAAATCAATTCTCAAAAATCTTGTAAGAAATAAAAGTTGAATGCACAGGATTCTTGATGTGGTTTTCAGATTTTTGTATGACATGTATTTTTAAACCCACAAAAGGTCAAAATTTGTGTATTCCCTCTTGGTATGTAATGAAAGTCAAATGCCTCTAATTGAATATACTGAAACTGTAAATAGCACTGCTTCTCTTGTTGTGGCCATCAGTAGTATTAAATATTCAGAGATTTTTCTATTAGAAACAATATGAACTATTGAACAGTAATATTGCTTCAACCTATTGATTTCTGACAACTCTTCTTGGGTGAACATTTGGCAACAAACTATGACTTGGTACCAATAATAGATTAAAAATTCCCTTCTCCTTGCAGTTAAAGACAAATACATTACCTACTCAGGGTTTGTAAAAGCCTTAAAAGTCCTCAAAAATGCTTGAATTTAAAAATGATAAACTCAAGGCCTTGAAAGTACTTGAATTTGAGGACTATGGCTTGACTTTTGCATTGCTTTTTCTTTTAAAGAAAAAGCAATTTTCAAGATGAAAATTACAGTACTTTTATGGAAAAGCTGAGAAATAATATTAAATAATTTTAAAATTGCTTATGCAAACCATTCCAAAAGTGGTCCCTTCAATTTCCTAAAACTTGGCCTTCAAAGTCACTGAAAAGTCCTTGAATTTCAACCTTTGGCATCTACAAGAACTTACTCATATATAGTGATATATTATTTGGATTGTTGTCTAGTACCATAACAACATTCATTACACTCCAGCAGACAAAAATAAACACAAGTATACTTATTTGTGACCGGCAACAATGGAATAGCGTGACAACAGTAACAATGGCAATATGGCAGTCCCCTAAAGATAACTCCAGATGTGCGATATTGAAAGCTCGAGTTCACGCAGATAATGCATCTAGTTTTAATTAAAAAAGAAACATTTTTCACCAAGATTAAAATTTTACAATTAAAAGAAACATCCCTCAAGCACCGCACTCTAACCTCAGAATGTCCAGCAAGCTCAACAAAAGCAAATTCAATCATTTAATATGTCTGTAGAGGAACATTACATACGTGTAGACCAACCTTGTCAGTATTGTTTTCTTTGTAGGTGTCAAAAGTGGTATCATTAAATGATAAACGTATCTTGTAATATGTAGTCCATTCTGGTGCAACAATTTTGGGGTTTCCCTGAGTAGCCACAGCACAGATGATATACTCGTACAACAGGTCAATTTGTAGGAAGTCATCAGCATTATTATTATCCATGGGTCCCCATGACTTATAGTTATTCAGTCGACCATGTTCAGCTACATATTTATAATTATGTTCTGATGAGGCTACAAAGCTGCTGTCTGGAATTTCACCGCCGATGGCTAAACCAATGGGCTTGTTATTACAAGCTGCAGATAATAATAACAACAATCATAAGCCTTCATATCTTTTCGATTCATATCTTCTGCAGCTTCTGAAGGACCTCACTGAAGTTAACAGTAACCATCCCCATCATATCTAAGTGCAATACATCAATACAAGGATTTCTTTTCACAGTGAGTGTTTGAGCACTTCAAGATAAAATTATAATTCATTTTATTGCATTAACAGAGCAAGTTGAATACAGGCTGAATAATTTGAAAACCAAACTTTTACTGTTCAGACGTCTCTAAAGCAATACTTCACAATCAATTTCTTGTGCTAGATGAAGCGACTTTCAGAGTTTTCAATCCAATGTAGCCTTCAGGAGCAGCATATTAAAACTACAATATTGGTCCCTTAATTAATTGGTTCATTTTCTCCCATTATAATCCTTTACTGTAGGTCTTATTGGGACTTAAAGCTCAGCTTCTTTGAAGACTGCCATTTTGTTACCCCAAGTAATGAGAGTATCCAGGAATAAAATTAAGTCCACAGAAAAGATATGTAAATAAATGAAACGAAATTATAATTTCATTACACAAATATTTTTTCCAAACATTCACCCCACTCTGTGTTTTGGTCAGAAACTCAAACTAATAATTATTAGTCATAATCACATGCCACAAGACTGACAAAGACACCTCTACAAGTTAGCATATTTGACCACCAAAATGAGTAATTAAAACAAAAACCTTTACTTTTTTCGTCTATAATTTATTTCTTCTGGTGATAATTTTTTTCTGGTAATCAGAACATGATTTGAGGTTGATAAGTGGCCCAGAGGAGAAAAGTTGAGGTTTACTCCACATAAGCATGCAAGAGTACATTATAAGTTCCACACTCACTTGACATTTTTTCTACTCCAAACACCTCTGTTCTCATACACATCCTACCCTGGTGTGTTTTTGGCAAAAATCGCATATATCTAGTTAACACTCCATAAACAACATGCTTCACTTCTGAGTTCCTGTCATCATTTCCTATCAAAACCTAAAATAATACCAAACAGTCTATTTA